GATTCCCTATGTAGTTTGATTTTGATTTATTTTTATTAAACATTTAAGTAATTGTTTTCTCTTGGAATATAAGTCGAAGGTATTGACAAACAGCATTTAGATTTTTGCCGTTCGCAAAACTGCCAGTCAAATTTGCTTTACTAAAATAGGTGTCTTGTATCTCTTTTGGACCCCACAATTCATCTTTTGGGTTTGTGTGGCAGAAAAAGAGGGGGGCTTTCGTTTAGGTCAAAGAATTTGTTCCCATCTTGATTCAAAAACCTTATTCATTTTTTAGAACAACCCAAAAATATTTTTTATTCAAATTTGAGTGTTGAATTTTATAATTTTTTATCAAAAATAAATATTTGTAATAACTCCTTCCTGAAAAGAAAAAAAATGTTTAGATCTATATTATGCATGTCTGTTTGAGAACCATTTCATAAGACCGATGATATCTATAGAATCATTGATGGGACCTATTATAAATACATTTTTTTTATTATTCCTGGAGTAGATAATAATTTTCTTTTAATCTTTGGGAATTATTCAATTTGTTTTTATGTTAAAATAACTAACTTCATAATTTTGATGAAGAAAATCCATTTCAAATCAATTTTTTTTCATCAAAATGATGATTTTCATTTTCATCTATCAACAAACTTTTTAAATTGTAGTGGCATGGTCGGTCAACTGATAAGTTGTATGGCTGATTGCAGGTAAAGCAATAACTTCTATTTGACAGTTGCGTGTACTCTGGGGTGTGGAAACCCTTAATTTTATGGGGAACATCCTGTCCATGTGTAATACTTAATATATTCCAACAGATGACATTACACAAATTTTTCTTCTGTTAAATGAATGATTTGTATATCATCATAATTTGCTATTTATATAAACCACATTTTGGTATAATAATTATTTACCATATCAACATTGAATATTATGAATGTAGAATGAAATATGTCTACAGTATGATTGGTTTGAATCATTTAATTTATAAGATTTAGGAATCAAAATTTGTAATTATTTAAAAACCCACATTGAAATTGTTTTATATCAACACACCCACATTTGAATTATTTTATACTTTAGATTTCATAGCCATATTTGCATTTGTAAAAATATTTATATTCCCAAATTTTCAATTATTTTACATGCCAAACTTTTATTTTTGTTGTAAAGAAGAGTAACTTGAAACAACAGTATATCATATAAAGAGAAATAAAGATTAAAGTAATATCATGAATATTGGTCAAGATTTGTAAAACTCAGAACTGTCAAGTAAATTGAAGACACGATTCAAAATGTTCAGAATATGTCAAGCCATACTGAGAAAAAATAAAAATGTCGAGAAATTTCAAGACAGTATTCAAATGTCAAGAATTTGTCAAGAAATTTTAAGACCATATTCAGAATGTCGAGAATATGTCGAGTAAATTTCATACAAATTTAATATAAATGAGAATTTGTCAAGAAAAATTAAGACACAAGTCATACTTTTGGAGAATGTCGAGTAAAAGTTCATGCAAATTAAGACAAAACCTGGTCTTTTCAGACTTTTAGACTTTTGTAGTGAGGCCATATCAGACTTTTACTGGTTTGTAGTAATTGTTACTACAAAGACTTATCAGTCATACATAATATTTTTTTTTATAAAAAAATGTATTTAATAATTCTTACATCTTACATCTGCTCTTTTTTAAATCTTGAAGGCTCATCAAAGTTACATCAGTGATGGAAAGATTGTGTTTGTTGAGGCGTTCAAAAACTTGGAGACGTCAACACCAATCGTAGCGTTTGAGACATTTAACTGCAGACAACATTCCTCTGTTCTCAAATATGGGGAATCATTTGCTGCTGAATTAAAAAAGGTCAGTGATATGTAAGGTAGATATCATTTTTCATATTTTCCGACTGAAACTTCCTACGGCAAGTTGTATTTAGGTTAGGCACATTTCATTGCTTTCAATGTTATTAACTTATGCATTGCGAGCTTGACGATAAAACATCTGTACTTTGTATTTTGTGTTTCTGTGTTTCTGTTAGATGCTTTTGTGCTTTGTATCGATCTGATGAGTTAAGCCCCTTTCATCTGATTTTTATAGTTTTTTTTCTCATTTTGTTCTGTTTAACTACTATACCAGGTTATGGTAGGGTTTGGCGCCCGCAAACATATTTTACCCTTTCACGTTCCAAAATTGCCGGTCCCAAGTCAGGAGCCTGTATTTCAGTGGTTGTATTTTGTTGCTGTATATCATGTTTATTTTTCGTTTGTTAGTTAGTTTTTGCGTTTGAATTATGATGCATTAGTCATTTCGGGGCCTTTTAAAGCTTGCTATGCGTAATGAGTTTTGCACATTGTCAAGGCCGTACGGTGAAATATAATTGCTAACTTCTACGTCATTTGGTTTCAAACGGAGTAAGTAGTAAATAGTTGTCTAAAAGCTTAACCTTCTGTGTTAAAATTTCTAACAACTTGACGAATACCTTGCCTAGTTCTTTGTTTGTCCTTCCTACTCTATTCGCTAGATAATTAGCGTTTCATAATACAATTTGTAATGTCTAGTCCTTAAAGTCTCTGACCCAATACAGATTGGACTGCTTATGTACTCTGTCATCTTGTTTTGTTGCTCAAAACTCAAATATTTTTCTTTTCTTTCATTTAGCTCCTTTTTAACTCTAAGTATTGCTGATGAAAATTGATCGAGAAAAGTGCTTTGAACTCAGCAAAAGTCAGTATTTTTGATATCACTGAAACAAAAAGGACAGCTTTCGCATTATTCTTACGCCTATAGCCATGGACTTTTTCTTAAGTTTATGATTTCATAAAAAAACAATTACAGCTGTAATATATATCTTAATTGTTAATGAAGAAACGGGCAAAATCCGAAAAGCCTTATGATAAGATGATAGACAGTAGAACATCCATTACAAAAACAAATGTGTAAACAAAAGACAACCTTAAAATCTTCTATACGACCCTCGAAAACTGGAAGTAGAACTAATTTCTTTGGCTCCGGGAATGAAAATAATACTGTACAATTTGCATTACTATAATTTTACTTCAGCTATTGTTTTTGTCTTTTTTTTAAATCTGATTTCATATTTTTTATTAGTTTTATTTATTTCATATTTGGATACATTTATTTGGATTTCAGTTTAACTAGTTAAAGGACAAAAAAAATGGCACAATTGTGGCATCCGCTCTGACGGTTTCAAATGAGGGCTAGTGACACTAATTAGCCTGGATTCTTTTTTTTTTGTTTAATAATACGGTGTTGAAAAGTATCATTTTGTTGCCATATATTATTAAAATTAATTTGTAACGGCTAATTTCTTAAACTCAATATAATATTATAAACTGACCATATAAAACTAAACCAAATGAAAATAAAAAAGCAATAGTCAATTCTAATGTCAACTGATGTGATAATAATATTCTTTTCTTGTTCACGCGATGTCAGTGTTTGCACATGGTGTCGTGTTTACAAGAAATAAAACTTATTTGAAGGCAGTGTAAATAAATTTTTTGCAATATAATCAGTTGAAAAATCATGTCTAAAGTCCACCTAGGTCTTATTACACGGACTATTAATAAAAACACAAGCAGTCATGCAAATAAGTCCTTAATTATACATAGAATTTCAATTTAAAGCAGCAGAATGAATGATTCCAATTATTAGAAGGGTTGGAAGATAGAGATATATGTTTCTATTACTTTAAAAAAGGAGAAGTATAATATTCGTTGAATTTTAAGCTTTATTGTCAATAGAATTGTAGCGACTTTATCGCTGTGTGGTGGATCATCAACTACTATATTGGCTCAATTACGAGATATTGAGCTTTCAACCGTCGTGCTATAGTATAGATGTAGGAACCTGGGAAATGATACCAGGGCTTATAAGTGTTTCTCGTTTCTCGTTTTGTATATAGATTAGACCGTTAGTTTTCCCGTTTGAATGGTTTTACACTAGTAATTTTTTGGGGCCCTTTATAGCTTACTGTTCGGTGTGAGCCAAGGCTCCGTGTTGAAGACCGTACTGTGACCTATAATGGTTTACTTTTATAAATTTTTACTTGGATGGAGAGTTGTCTTATTGGCACTCATACCACATCTTCTTATATCTATTATAGTATTCTAAATGGTATAACATTATCATAGATCGCCAATCTGTTACATGAAGTCATTTATCCCCTAGTCTATATCTAAACAATAGTTTTATGATTACACCAAACAAACAGTATCTGGATATAGTTGACCGATTTAGTGCATTAACTTAAAGCTGAAAAGTAATGATCTAAAATTGAAGTTTAATCAAAACATTTCTCTGAAATATGTTTTCTGGTACCAGAATCAGAATCAGAATAAGTTAATATTCATTTGCTTTATAGGTTCGAATGTAAGAAAGTAAAACTTTCCCCAATGTTTTGTTTAATTGGTATTTTTTACCTTAACAAGGACTACTTGATGTATACATCAATCTATCAAACAGTCAATCATCATCGTATAGACAAGACTATGTTGGATTTCATGTATATACAGTATTTGCTAAGCTGACAGAACTACTTAAAGGTGTGATTTACAAGGCTGTAATACGTATTTTCAGATATGTAAACCACAGAGGCTTATAATGCGAATCAAATGTTAAAATAAATATTAACTTTTTTTCACAAAAGTTATATCAAATTCTGAGTATACAATAAATGAACTTCAATGTCCATGACAAAAAGTCATCAAAGATAACAGGCTTATAATTGAGTACACCAGACGTGCGTTTCGTCTACAAAAAACTTATCAGTGACGCTAGAATCAAAAAGGTGAAAAGATGAAATAAAGTACGAAGCTAAAGAGCATTGCAGATCCACAATTCCGAAAGATTTTGCCAAATCTATATTTCTTTTAATAGGTATCAATTACTGGATATACAGGAGGCCTTTCGTGGGGTACTGATACATTTCCAAAGACAGCAACATATCAAATATGCAGTCCAGTGATAAACACGAATACATACAAACATATGGGAACTTGGAACAACGATTACAGACTTGATCTAGTAAAAAATGTGCTATTTGGGAATGATTTTACAGATTTTGGAAATAGAACATTGACTATCGCTACAAAACCTGTAAGCTCTTTTATATGTACATAGCAGTTAATTTATAATCTTGTTCAATTATGGAAAAAAATAAAAAGAGAAAATCGAAACAATAAGAATCAAAGAAAGACAGACCAAATGACTAAAGAAATAAAATGAGATTATAGACAAAAATCATCAAGAAATCACTTCACAAAACTATGACTTCACAACACTATCCACCAAAAAAAAAAAAGTAAAGATCTCAGGTACTATGGAAGGTAAGTAGTTCCAGCACAACCTGATCATTTTAAAAAAAGCAATGCAAAAGCTTATTCGTATGTTTTTCTCTTCTATATTTATACAAGTATGCAAAAATTGATTGACTCCATTTGAACATTTTATTTATATGTAAGCTATTAAGTTTATATCGATGTCAATAAAATAAGTAAAATTTCTCTTGTATTAAAAACCAAGACATTATTGTAAAAACAATTTGATGTTTGTATTTTTTATATAATTTTACATCAAATTATTTTAATCTAGATCTGGTCTCATCTAATTGTTCATATTGCAGATAAAACCATTTGTGATTTTCACTGACAACAACGGTACAATTGAGTATTCTGGTTTTTGTTTTGATATTCTCAATGAACTGGCAAGACATTTTAAATTCAAGTATGTATAATAATAACACTGACTAATTCCATCTGTTAACTCAATATAAATTTTATAATGGGTCCTCTTTTTAAAGTAATCAATGCTAAAGAGTTTTTTTTTTTTTCATTATTTCAAAAAATAAAAACAACATTTTACAAATTTCGTGCGTCCGAACCGCTTTTCTGGATTTACCTTCATCAAGAACGCGCAAAGCCGAATCTTTAAAAGCCAAGGGTTTATATGAACCAAAGGAGTTGAAGAACTATATGAAAAAAAAGAATATCAAATTGAATCAAATGAATATTATTAAATATTTTATATTAAAATGAAAAAAACCTTCTAATATATATATATATATATCAATCTGACTTATAAGTGAGACTTATTTTACTTTTTAGCATCTAAAATGCATTTAAAAAATAAATGACAAGTGAGCTTTAAGGGGTTTTCATTCTTTTCAGTTACAAAATTGTAGGGCCCCCGGATGGTATGTACGGTGGGCTAAACAGTGATGGTACTTGGAACGGAATGGTCGGCATGGTCATGCGTGGGGTAGGAAAATATTATACATTTAAAATGAAAAGGATTTGTTACTACAATAACAAAATGTGGTGTTGTATATAAAAGTACAACTATCCACAAATGATCAAACTAAGGATCGAAAATTGAACATCTGAAAGTAGTTAAAAGTACTATCCACAAATGATCAAAATAAGGATAGAAAATTGATCATATGAAAGTAGTTAAAAGTACAACTATCCACAAATGATCAAACTAACTAAAGGATCGAAAAGTGAACATCTGAAAGTTATCGTTGATCTGATTTTAATAAAAGAATATATTGGCATAGATGTACGTACAGTATTTGCATAGTACCACATTAACATAACTACAATGTACAAGTGAAAAATCTTTTTTATAGTGTTTTCTTAAATGGAAAAAAATATCCCTTTCTAGACATTTATCAATCTGTTTGTGCAAAATGATCAAACATCCGGTTGTGTTTTCCTTGGTTTTGTAATTCCTGCAATAAAAAAAAACAAATAATCTTTATAGATATAAGTTTTGACATATTCATTAAAAATGACACGAGCTATGGAAGAAACTGGAAAGGGATTTTGGGTGACTTAACCTTTTGAAATCTGACAAACTCTCTGTGTTCTGAATATGAGTATTGCTAGAAATAGTACACCATATTAACATTGCGACAGATACAGTATGATCTATCTTTCCGATTGCAATTCAAAACCTATTATTGGTGATATCGTGGTATTTGTCGTTCCGAATTCCGTTGCAATACAATGGATTTTGCAATGATGTGCAGCAGATTATAACCTGTGTTACCTGTTGCATCTGCAACACCGATAATCTGTGGAATATCTTAATTATTGAATCATAATCACAACAATAAGTAATTAATATTTTAAAAATTGTTTGTAGGAAGTTGATTTTGCAATTGGACCATTTACCATTACATCGATCAGAGAAACTGTCATTGATTTTACAGTACCCTTCATAGAAGATGGTGTTGGTATCTTAACGAAACGACCTGATGGAGAACCAAACAAAATATTCAAAATGTTTAAACCCTTCTCACTGATTGTGTGGTGCTGTATTGGTGTGGCTATTGTCGTTGTGGGAATACTTTTGTGTGTTGTTGGTTATATCAATCCATATGTAGAGAAAACATGCAGGGATGAACCACATTTAGTAATGGAGCAAAAAAGTCTAAAACAGACAACTTGGCTAATTTATGGTTCATTCTTTGAGCAAGGTAAATTAGATCTCGATTTTTCTGATGAACCATATCGTCAAATATAAAGTCCAAAATTTGTGAAATTTTGTCTTCATTGCTACTTATATTTGATAAGTTTATTATATCATTACATATATTATGCTGTTATACGTATGGGTGGTGAAATGATTCGAGCATATTCTCCTGCAATCGATGGAATAATAATATCTTTAATAAAACAACCTAAACAATTCACTGCTTGTTTTGTTTCCTAGCATTATTTGCATGTTTTCATAATTTGATAAAGTTGTGGGGTATATAATGACATTAAATGGTTTGTTAGTCTATCATATTTCCATTTAATGGTGATTATAACACATGTTATATTTTTTAAAGTTTGAAACAATGTCATGAAATATAATTTACAGGTTGGGTTGCGGGAGAATTTACATTTACTTTTCAAAAGTTAAAGAATTTTCTTATCTGAAAAAAAGATTGTGCTGAATGATATGTTCTGTTTGGTGCTAGTAAGATCACACATCACTCAGGGTTGGTTATTTATTGAAAGTATTGCAATTATTGTTTTAATGATACAAATATTTTGAGAAATTCGTTTAAAACCACTCATACAATTTTTGCAATTTAAGGAGTAGATCCAAGACCGACAACTTTTTCTGGAAGATCAATGCTCGGATTTTGGTGGGTTTTTACCATCTTGATGACGTCAACATACACAGCAAATCTAGCCGCTAACTTGACAGTCAGTATTGCAGAACAGCCAATCAATAGCCTAGAGGAACTGGTTGGACAGAAGGAAATTGGACCATTGGTGAAATCTGGTACCAATCTACACACTTTGTTTATGGTAATGAACAATTATGGTTGTAAATTAAGAAAACGCTTCTAGCATCACTATACAAGTTTGTAATTTCCTTTATAAACACAAAATCAATACTAACATGCGATTGGGTTGTTAATTGAGAAAGCAATTAACATACATTGCAGTAAAGGAAAATTTAAATGAAATGATCCTAATACGGCAATCGCTTTTTGAAAATGTATCCGCAACAACTGTAAAAAGCATATTATTATCCGTAGAAATAAAACCATGGTTATTCTTAATTCAGATTAATTTATGCAGAATAATGAATCGTTTTACAAATGTTAAGCATCTACAAATACATCCCAAAATTGAAAGAAAATTTATATTTTTTCATTTGAATTAAGACGTCTGATTCTGGAATCTACAAGCAAGTATGGGAAATGATGGGGAGCATGCCAAAAGTTACAAGCAACGATGAAGCGCTGTCTTATGTTGATCAAGGGAAACACGCCTTTATGACAGATGTGACACAGTTAGACTACATAGTCAGACAGGAATGTGAGAAGTATTCTTTAGCAGATGAGATTTTCAATAACGCTGGTCTAGGATTTGTTCTTCCTGAAAACGCTCTCTTCAAAGATTCTTTTAACCTGAAGTGAGTATATGAAATAATGAGCTTCAATTTGTAGGTTCTGAATTAAAAAATGGATATTTTGAGCCAATATTTTCTTTGCCGACGTTAACGCCACTCAATTTCTCGTTTTCTTGTTTTCTCGTTTTATCGTGTCTCATACACTGCTATAATTTTCTGAGTGGTACACATAAACTTGGACTGTGATGTTTAAAAAGACAAAAATATGTCCAGTGTTCCCATACTATCATTTATGCTAGTGCTTACCATAACTAATTGGTCATTGGTTTTTTTTTGAAAATCTGCCGACAAAAAAATTAAAAATTGTCTGCAAAAAGTATTTTTGAAAACCTGCTTACCCTATCTTTGTAAATAATGCTACCTTATCTTTGTGAATACTGCTACCCTAAGTAAATATACCTATTTATCACATTTTAGAGTAATTTATATCTAAATCTATTAATTTTAATTCATTCGTTTATGTCAAATTCTTTGAAGTAGAGAAGAATTGTATCAGGTGGAGACGGATAGAGTTCAAAGGGTACTAAATTAAATTAAATTAAATTTCGCCCCTCTTTTAAGGACAATTAACAACAAGAACAGTGCTATCATAGAATAAGGGGTCTAATTTGTCTGTACGGATTTAAATTATGCAGCCACGTTATGTCGGCGTTGATGCGAGTCCTTCACACGATGAAGATTCATTGAGACAATTCAATGAGGGATTTGCAGATTTAAGTTACATGGCAAATGTTCTGCCCCTACCCAATGCACTAAATTTTTCAAGTTGCAGTCTAAATTTCTATTCATTCAAACACTTAACAAAACCTATATAATTGATGTATTGTTTAATGAGTACTTTACTTTATTATGAATAGAATAGAATTATTACATTATTAGAAAACAACAACAATTATATGTGTCTTTTAAAGTGCTTCGGACGCATGAAATTTATAACGTGTCGTTTTTCATTTTTTACAGCACTGGGTCGATACCTCTGTTGGTTCCCCGAGGGTATCACCAGCTCAGTAGTCAGTACTTTGGTACTGACATGATTTATAACAAACCTTTCTAAAATTTTCCTTTAATAAATTTTGAAATAATAAGAAACTAAGGTTTCAACTCCCTCAGGCAAAGTTGACCGTAGACGGATTTGGGGTTTTTTAAGGTCCTGTTTGGTCCTATAGCTATTCAACTGTTTCGGTTCTTATAAATCCTTGTCTTACAAATATTCGGCTTTGAGCGTTCCTGATTAAAGTAATTCCAAAAAAGAGCTTCGGACGCATGCAGTTTATAACGTGTTGTTTTCATTTTTCAAAACCTATATTTGCTTAGACGAGTATATGACTGAAATGACGATATGGCTCAACGATCTATTAACACTTAATTTCTCCAGTAGAAGAGTATTGTAACTGTTCAGTGAAAATAAGATATGGTACATTAAAATATAATTTTCAATAGCGTTATCTAGACTATGTATACTGTAAAATCAACCAAGACCTTCCAGTAGACACTTTTCATAACTTTCTATTTGTAGTATGATGAAGATGCAAGAAGCTGGTATGACAGAGCGATGGAAAGAGGAATGGTGGCCAAGTCTAGAGTCGTGTTCATCACAATCTAGAACAAGTGGTGCGAAACCTTTAGGAATGGACAGCTTAGCAGGATTGTTTTATGTCTACTTGGCTGTGGCAGGAGTATCTATCATTTTATTTACTGCCGAACTATTTTATCGGAAGATCCTATCGGGCAAAATTCGACCCTATTTTTTACAGCTAATAAGAGTAATTGGCAAAAAACAATCCACAACGTCACCATTCGCTAGTAAAGAATAGTTTATAACGTTGTTATTTTGTAAAATGTGTAATATCTAAACAACAGCGTTCTTCGTGTAACTTTTTGATTTTTTCTTTCAAAATGAGGTCAAAATAGTTGTGGTATCCCGGTCTTGTGATATTTAATTTAGATTGTTTTGTAAAAACAATAAACATATGACGACTTATTTGACTTGTGTATACCAGAATGCTTTTATGTAGATTTACTCTAGATGCAAAATATGAAAATTATGTATATATATGTTTTTACTGTAACCCGTATTTATGCAAGAACAAATAAAGAATTCTGAATATGTTTTGGAAAATTTTAACTGCTAAATAGATTTGACTTAAGACAGGGGTAGAAGAAAACCTTAGCGTTTCGAAAATTTCAACATTTTATAAATATTAAATTTACAGAAAATGAACACATCAATAATATGCCATGTCAACACAAAGGTTTTGATTACTGGGCTGGTGATACCCTAGCAGTTGCATCGACGTAGTGGTTGCAAAAACTTATCAGTGATACAGAGTTTATAACGAGGTACATGTACATCAGACGCGCGTTTCGTCTACATAAGACTCTATATTGGCGCTTGACTAAGAAACAGAAAATATCAGACTTTATCAAGTGTTTAGTTCAATGTTACGCAAAACGCGCGTTTCGTCTATATTAAATTCGTCAATGGCACACTTCACCCTTGCAGTCGTATCTAGCAGAACCTACCAATGTAGTAATTTATAATTGATTCTCGTCCTGAATATGCATGAAATAATGTCAATTCGATAATTGAGCAACCAACAGCCAAGCAGCAATGAGATAACATTTTGGATTGATCAAACAATGAAAACAACACGTTAAAGATTTCATGCGTCCGAAGCACTTTGCTTAATTTACCTTCATGAGGAACGCTCAAAGCCGAATATTTGAAAGCAGAGGATGTATAAGAACCTATACAGTTGAATAGCTATATTACCAAAAAGCACATAAACAATATCCATCTAAGGTCAACTTTGCCTGAGGAGTATAAACCTTAGTTTCTAATAATTTCAAAATTTATTAACGGACAATTTTAGAAAGGTTTGTAATAAATCATGTCAGTACCGAAGTACTGACTACAGAGCTGATGATACCCTCGGGTACTAGAATAGAAACAAATAATAGTCTCTAGCGTAGAAGACTTGATTTTTCATTCCATTAGCTATGCATATTTATATAATAGCACAAAATAATCTACAATGAGCACATTTTCAAAATTATAAATATTCAGACAACTTTAACTTCTCCAATATAAAAGATTCTTAAAATTGTCCGTCAACACCTGCAAATAAAAATGTGTCTTGGGAAATGATAATCTAAACCACAATACATGTACGAGAAAGACAGTGTTGACATTCAATTTATCATACAAACGAGCCTGCAGACTACATTTCTTCATTACAACCTATTGGGATTCTGTTCAGCGTTAGTATCCAGTTGTACGTTATTGTTCATGTTACAGACAATGCTAAACGTATTCAACTATTCAAAAAGAAACTTAACATTACTTTATCCCTAGTGAATAATTTGAAATGAAATCCATCACATGTATCTTTGTCTCTACATTGAACATCAATTGTATAAGACATATATCTTGAAAATTCCCACTCAACAACACGTTTTATCTGACTATGACTTTGGTTTGTATTACCTCGCTTTGAATAGACAAACGAAAAGATTTATAAACACAACTTTTAAAGCCTCATTTCAGATATAAACGATTAATCATGTCTTTAAATCGGAAAATTTTTCTCATCATTTTTTTTTCGTGTAAAGTGAAACAATCTTGAGCTTTGTTGCAATAATGAACAATCTTAAGATCAGTATTCTTTCTATTATTTTGTCTGAATTATTAAATAGAAGAAGCATTACCTTAAATGGTTACCCTCAAACACGACAAATAAAATCTCCCAAGTGCATTTCTTCACAAATGGCAGATTTAAGAATCAGAGAGATATCAGTTTGTTTACAGATGCATTATACCTGTATCAGCGGTATCATTCCATTAGGAATATGATCCCACAAATAGCCTGGTTTAAAGTACTCCAACAGATAAGACAGTTTTATATCTGTCATAAAGTATAATTGCAGTAAAGACGCCGAAAGTATTGGTTATCATTCTCGTCTTTGGTTTTACAACTGCATACGTGTTTTGACCACTCAACATCGTCGTAGTCATGGCATCACACAGATACACCAAATATATAGAACAAACACAAACGCATGATGTATATGTCACAGCAGAAACCTTTATTAGATGATATACTAGATAGCTTGAGATCAAAACTTTGAAATTTGCTTATCCTCCCAAAGCACCTGAAATCCCCCCGGTTTTTGGTAGTGTTAGTGTTGCTCAATCTTTACTTTTATGTATTGTGTTTTGTTTACTGTTATTTGTCTTTTCATCGTTTTTCGATTTTTGCCATGACATTGTCAGTTTGTTTTCGACTTATGAGTTTGAATACCCCTGTGGTACCTTGCGCTTCTTTTTTACACATAAACTGCGTCAATAGAGAAAGAACTACTGAAATCGACACTACACAAATTTTACTGTTCACCATCATGAATGATAAACCGATACGATTTGTTGGTGTCTCAACTCACTAGCGACATGTTTTCGAGGTCTTAGATCTTCAGATTCCAGTATAGTTGTCTGATCCAGGGGCGGATCAAGCCATTGGTAAAAAAAAGGGGGGAGGGGGTTCTATGTGATCTATTATTTTACCGGTTGTATCCTATTCTCGATTGTGACGCACCCGGTCTGGCTCCTTTTTTGGAGTTCCCTTGGTTTCTGTTTGTTAACTTGATACGTCTCATCTTAATAGATTAACGAGATTTGCAATCTCCGGTGCAGAGTTCATATCCGTTTTTACATGCTCCGCAATACTATACTTAATATGAGTGTAGTGTTACGTAGTATTGAACGTAACGGATATGATCTCTGCGCCGGAGATTGCGAAATTTGTACGACGGTACATCGGTACATCCGACTGCTGTCGTCCAAGTAATCAATAGCAATCGCACCCATTTACTGAATACCAAGACTGAAAGTATCCTTACATATGACAAGGTTCGCTAAATCTGTTTAGTGCTCCACTCAAATCAAATCAAATCAAATCATTTTATTGGTGTAAAATCCAAATATTGGGTTGTTACCAAGACAAACATGACAATATTTACAAACATACAATATTTAAATTAAAGCAACATTCATATTGAATAAGTATCTCGTATGTTTAGATATTTTGGAGGAGGTAGTACTTTTGCAAATTTGAAAGTGAAAGTACAATATTCTTAATGCTATTGTTATAGAATATAACATAACAAATAGAAATGAAAAATAGAAAATAATCACAAAGTTGCTTGATCTCTTTTGACACTCTGAAAATCTATCTTAACGGCTTACAAAGGAAGCCCTTCGGTTCAATGTATCAAAGTCTACTTACCTAATTGTATTGGTCGTACTGTATATATTTTGACTTTTTAAACGTTTACTTGACAAAATTATGAGAATAACATGTCATAAGTCTGAAAAAGTACATATTTCAAAATGTCGATAACTTTATAATATTAATTGAAATGGAAGTTTGATTGTGGTATACACTTTCACACATTTCCACTTTATCCTTCTCGGTTTAAAGAAACTTTATTTGTAGAAAAATAGTCATCATTTTAAAAGTGTGCATGCAATTGTTTTAATAAATTGATTTTAAGCTTAAACATTACTCTTTTCATCCATATGAAGAGAGCGATCAGTCTTTCAGAGTTATCAATTGCAATTAACTGACTGATTAAACGTTAAACTCGTGATTAAGTATAGGCACTTTAAAAAAAACAAAGGGTTACACGAGGAAATCGCCTCTTCACGAGTAGATTCTTTTCTGTTTTCACAAATATGACCAATTAAAAAAAAAACAGCCAATAAAACTCCTAAAAACCTAAAAAAAAACCCAAAAACCCATGATATGATTTCTCTGGAACAAAACTCAGTAGGACTGCTCGAGACAAAGTATTTCGAAAGCCAAATATATAAATCGTTTTATAACAGTTACTAAATCACAAAACCACTTTAATTTACAGAACATCCAGAAATGTCAAAATTGCCTAAAAGAGTTTTAACCTTAGTTTTAACTCATTCATGCATGCCAAGTATATAATTTAATGGAGTTGGTCTTTACTGACAAAATGCATCTGATATAAAAATAAGACGATATTGTATGACAACTCTCCACCATAGACCAAATGACGTAGAAGGTAAGCAACTGATATTTCAGTGATATCAACTAAGCGATAAAAATTCTTCGCGCACAACACGCGACCTGTCTTTTGAAATATATTAGATGTTTACAAAAATACACATCATAATAGTTCTAATTAGAAATAAAAACTCCAACCAAACTGAATAAATATTTGATTTGTTAATATCATTTGACATTTAATGATCAATTTATGATGAAAATTAAACAAAAAAAGATACGCTTTTGTACCTTAGGTCAAATATTTATTGAACAATTGATTTTTTTAGGAATACAACATTAATAATTGGGATGTGTTAACAAGTGGCAGGTGTGGTAAGCGATTAATGAAAACACGTATTTGGGCCTTGGTTTGTAAATAAAATATTGCCTTTCATAGTTATTCATTAATACTTAAAGGGGCACTAACTGTCAAATTTATGTTAACCGATTTGAGACAAATTATCAAACATGATTTATAAAATACTATGAAGTATATTGAAATTTTACGAAAAGTCCAAAAGAAACAATTAACAATGCTTGGATTCATTATAAAATATCAGCATTTCGTGTGTATTTTAGACTAGACACAATCTAGGTATTCAACGAGATGACCCCCGAAGGCTACCGATAGTCATGTAATCCGATATAAACATAAATAAAAATAGACAGTCAAGCACATGCAATCGTAGAATGACCATTTTTCTAGGTACAATGTAGCATGAATACGGATTTAAATGAGGTTGAAATTTTACATGTAAGTCAATGATACATCAGCGATGTTTTGTAAAGTTATTTGAACGAATTTGAACCAAACTGACTGCTAATAACTAAATATTATTTCTATATTCTGCTTTTAAACAGGTTTGAAATTAAAAAAAAATCGTATTTTAACTTTTTGTCTACAATAACACGATATGACAAAACATGTATTATTTTGTAAAAAGCTACGCCTATTCCATATAAAAATCAGGAGATGAGGTATGGTTGCCAATGAGACAATTTCCACCAAAGTTCAAATAAA